AAAAAAAAAAAAAAGAAAAAAAGAATGAAAAGACAATGTATAGACTAGAAGAAAATAATTGGCTAATTATATATCAGACAAAGGTCTTGTACCCATAATACATAAAGAATTCTTAAAACTTAATAAGAAAACAAACCAGATCTTTTTATAGTTCATAGGTGTGATGATTGGTTGTTCATGCTTATGTGTGAGATGTGCCCCCTCAAAACTTGTTATGATATCAGCACATTACCCATTGGATATGAAAAGAGAAAAAACAAAGAAAGCAAACCAATTTTTTTTTTTTTTTGAGATAGAGTCTCACTTTGTCACCTTGGGTAGAGTACCATAGCATAACAGCTCACAGCAACCTCAAAATCTTGGGCTTAAGCAACTCACTTATCTCAGCCTCCCAAGTAGCTGGGACTATAGGCATCCACCACAACACCCAGCTATTTTAAGAGAAGGGGTCCTGCTCTTGCTCAGGCTGGTCAAGCAATCCACCTGCCTTGGCCTCTCAGAGTGCTAGGATTATAGGTTAAACCAATTTTTTAAATGGGGAAAAGGTATGAACAGATAGTTCACCAGGCTGGGGCAGAGGCTCCTGAGGCAGGAACATCACTTGAGGCCAGAAGTTTGAGAACAGCCTGGGCAACATAGCAAGACCCCATCTCTAATTATTTTTTAATTTTTAAAATTTATTTTATTTTTGTTCATATTTTTTTAAAAAGAAAAAAGCTAATAACATTAGCAACATTGTTTTAAAGGCAAATGATAAAGTGAGGGTGTGAAATACTGTATATGGTATGATTTTAATCATATAAGAGAAAAATGTTATGTATTGTTTATAAATATATTTACATCTATACTTAAATTTATCTCACAAGATAAGTATTATATATATTGTACTAATGAATCCTGGGCATTTTGTATCCATACTCATTTATTAGATATAATTGAATAATTGTACATAAATAAATATAATCTGAAATTATGCAAATCAAGTCAATAATAGTGTATATTTCTAGAAATATATTCTAGAAAGTTGAGAGTTGAAATATTTATTTGATATGTTTCTGTATTTCTTAATTTTTCATTATAATCAAGTATTGTTTTTATTTAAACTTGTAAAATATGGGCCCGGCGGAGTGGCTCAGGCCTGTAATCCTAGCATTCGAGGAGGCTGAAGCAGGTGGATTGCTTGAGCTCAGGAGATCTAGACAAGTCCCAGCCAAGAGCAAGACCTATCTCTACTGAAAAATAGAAAACACTAGCCAGGTGTAGTGGCACATGCCTGTAGTCCCAGCTATACAGGAAGCTGAGGCAAGAGAATCACTTTAGCCGAGAGTTTGAGGTTGCTGTGAAGTGTGATGCCAGGGTACTCATACCCAGGGCAACAGAGACTGTCTCAAAAAAAAATTGTAAAGTATGCTTTGTCAATGTAGTATGACTGGAAAACTGCATGTTACATAACAGTAGGTACAGAAGTGAAAAAGTACAGTTCAAAACGCTATGTACAAGTAA